TTACTCGATCGAAGCTCACCGTTCCCGACTTTGTTGGTTCCAAGGAGTTGAACACTTTACGAACTAGACTATATAAGGGTATAAAAACAATATACTACGTAAGAGTAGTTTCAAAAAAATGGATAATATACTAAATATTGATGGCAAGTAAACAATGATTTATCATCTAAACAGTCAAAAGAAATTAAATTATTGAAAAACGCCTAGATCTTTTGGGAAATGCCCTAACTACATTGCGTGCGACAATAACCCAAAGGATAATAGCAATCATGAGACCGTTCCTTATTAAAGAACACATATAAAACCATTTACTGTTCGACAAATCGACGATCCGACGGTTTTCAGTAAACGCCTTAGTGTGATAAATATTGAAAGGTTTGAGTCTCATGGTCACGCCGATCACATTTTCAATTATGCAAACCCGCAACCCAGTTTGCGATATGGAATCGTGAGCCTCATACGATCGCATTATACCACAAATGGTACTGAGATGGGCGACGGCAAAACTATCACAAAGTGTTGGTAGTGGTGACAGGATTTGAACCTCAAACATTCTACAAATATACATGTATACGACTGCTACCAGAAGCGCTCAACCACACCTTACTAGCGCATCGAATACAAATATACACATTTTCTCTCCCTTCTGAGTCTTACTGGGTGCCAAACACATCACAGTACAATAATCTTGATGCGACCCTTTTTATCCACTGAGTGAACGACGGTGAGGAAAGTTTCTAACCAGATTTGTAACTAGCGAATACTGCAATGGATCTCAGTTAGTAAGAAATTTGCGTATTTCAACGGATTTTCGGAACGTAAATAAATGTTTTTTTGAAGACAAACAGCAATTGAAACTGTAAAGTTCCATGTCCGCTAAGCTTCTTCCGAAAATGCTGGTTTGACACCGCCATTTTGCAACCACTGAACATGTCATCTCGGCTGATGATCAAGTGTTTGAAAACAAAAATTGTGAATATCGGCGAACTGGTGAAAAGGAACGCATAATTTGCCTCGGGAACTCTTCAACTAGAACTTTACCCAACAAGGGATAAAACGCAACTTCCCGTTAGAACCACAAAGAAGATTATAAGAAATGCTCAGTAGTTCTCACGAAATTTCCTTGTGAATGTGAATAGTCACAACACACATGTTAAGAGCATATGCAATATTTTTCGTCATTTAAAAAAAATGACGAAAAGCGGCTAGAAACAATAAATCTTTCTGGAACAGCAGTAATTTGCGACAGAGAAATAAAGGAGGCCGACAACTGACAACAAATACTTCCGTTGGATAAATATTACTAGTCACCTAAAATATCCTCCACTCATTGAAAACAAGTAAAACAAAGGAGAGGACAAAGTCGAATAAATGGAAGTATTACGAATGTATTAAGTATTAAGAATGTGTCCAATAGAGCTCTTCCCTACCAATGAAATTGCCCAGCAAAAAATGAGCGCACTGCTAAAAATGCGGTTATGTGAAAGAAAGGATTTTATCAAAGTGTAACCCAATCCACCCTACCTCTGGTTCTGTTTATTATTATTGTGGCGTTGGCATCA